CTTTCGAGGCTGCTTATCGTATCTTATCAACTGTTATCACTTTCTGTCGCCCATCAATGATGTTCCCGTCCCACACCCTATATCACCTCTCGGATCCAAGGACCCACTGTTCCTGTGAGCCGCACTGTGAATTTGGTAGTCCTTCCCTTCTAATGCCCATTATCAGATCTTATCAGCTGATATCACATCCTGTCACCTACCAATAATGTTTTCGTCCCACCCCCTATTTCACTGCTCGGAACCAACGTCCCACTGCTGCTGTCACCCGCGTTATGAATATGGTGACCTCCCCCTTCTAACGCCTCTTATCGTATCTTATCAGCTGATATCACTTCCTGTCACCCACCAATAGTGTTCCCGTCACACCGCCTACATCACTTCTTGAAATCAATGTCTCACTACTGGGACCGGCGCTATGAATTTCGTGACACACAGACAGACGCACACACAAACATACACACACACACTTACAGACATACTTAGCGGATTATATAGAGTAGGATCGTATCAAGCACACACAACATGCCATTGATGGAGCTCTTACTCATGAAGCAGTCACGTGCCCATAGTTAGTCTGAGGAGTCCAGTGCTTTACGTCAATACAATGAGTATGAGCAGAAGATCTGCACTCTACTTGAAAATCAACAGTGGCTAAGGACGCTGACGATTGAATTTTTCACGGTGTTCCACATGTATTACCGATAGCAGCTTCGCCTTAATCAAGTGCCACTGCACGGCACGGAGCTCAGACCATGCAAAGAACGATACTGGCGGTCAAACATGGCGGTAAACACGCATGGGTTGGGCTACAGTGCGAAATAAAAATAAATACATCGCATAAAACATGACTTCACAGTGATACCGCGTCGTTATGAGTATCCTTTCATTCTATAAACCGCTAACTTTGTGGGTCGGTTTGTATGTTTGTATGTATGTAGGTTTGTAGGTATGTATGTATGTATGTTTGTCTGTCCGTCCGCAAAATACTTCAGGGTTCGAGTTCGCGGGACGTGAAAACGACCGCTAGGCAAATCGGTAACCGACTGGGAGGATGTAGCAGTCCAATGATTTGATTGTGATAACAGCCTCCGCTATATAAGACAACCATTCGGTACACTCCGAGCCATTGCACGAGCTACTGCGATTGGGCAGGCTGACGTGTGCTCGTGCGGGGGCAGGGTGGGGGTGCCCGGCCTCCCTCCCATGCCTAGCTCTCCTGCACGTGCTCAGCCGGAGCTGAGCAAATGTACGGGAGGGAGGCAGAGGGGAGGGGTCCCGGAAGGGGGTGCAGGGAGGGCTGCGTGGCGCGCGTTTGAGTAGAAACGAGCAACAAAAGTGGAGGAAACAACCGGTAAGAAAACCGATAGCTAATTCATGTTACCGTTACGAACTGAAAAGTTGTTTTGGTCATGATAACACTTTCCACTATATAAGAGGACCACCACACTCATTGCACGGGTTGCTCGTGTGATAGTTGCACGTGAGCGCTTGCAAGGGGCATGATGGCGAAGGGAGTAGCGAGAAGGGAAAGGGATGAGGTGAGGAAGGTGGGAGTGGGTACCAACTGACCTCTTCTCACTCCTTGCGCGCTCAGTCGGATCTGAGCCCATGCAGGGGAAGGGCCTATGGATTGAACGGGCAAACTGGGTACAGTAAGGGGTTGCGTAGCGTATGCTTGAATAGGAGCAGGCGGCAAGAACCGCTAGCAAAACTGCAAGCTAATCCATGTTACAGCAATGAACTAAGAGGTTGTTTGGATTGTGAATCGCTCCCGCTATCTAAGCCAACCACTGTGATAGACTCTGTGCTATTGCAGGAGCTGCTCGCTTGGGAGCTGGACGTGAGCACGAGCAAGGCAGTGGTTAAAACAAAAAAGGGTGGCGGCCCGCGCTATGTCCCTATGTTGCACCAGCTGCTCACGTGGCGGCTGCATACCACGTGCGGGAGTGGGCGCCGGTTAATAGGGTTAGTGGGAAATGATAAGGTGAGGGGGATACCAGATGAGATAGTGCAGATCTCGCGGATTAGGAAGCACATAGCGCCTGCAGGCGGTAAGGCGTCTACGGTTGCGATAAGATGAGAAGAAAATGGATCGACCGCAATCGGAACTGAACCGATTGATGTTGCATTATCAAACTGTGGTAGCGTTTTGATAGCCATAACACCCTCCACAACATATACTGTAGTTCGCTGCGGACGGCTGGGCGTGCCAGTGCAGGTGCGTTTGGCGCGGTGCCAAAAGCGTTCTACAAAAGTTGTTGAAGCAGGCAAGTGACAATACTATATCATATGCTTCGTATTACTCGTTTTCTACCACTTTTTGTCGCATGCGCTCTTCAACAAGAAGGCAGAGAACGGCTCTGATAGGGTGACACACTCATACTGGCTGACACGCCCAACCGTCCGCAGAGAACTAGAGTGTAGCCATTTAGTGCACTCAGAAACCATTGCACGGGGCAAAAAGAACCATATTCGCGTAGCAGCTGAGCGTGACCTGTAGGGTGGCTGAGCGGGGAATAGCTGAGGTTAGTTTGGGGATAGGTGAGGTGAAGGGGTACCATATTGGCGCGACGCTCGCCTGAACAGGAGCACGCAGCGACTGCGGAGACCGAAGCATCCTTGGCTGTCATAAGATGGGGAGGAGAGTAATCGATTATCCATGACCAGATTTTGAACTTTTCATTATGAAAAGTGCCCTGCGATTATATGGCGCGTTTCTACATTTATTTGATTAGAAGACAGCGGTTAGTCACCATGACCGCATCAGACAGTAGTATCGCCCAGCTTATGCCTTACTTTGCTCCTTTCTTTCACGAGCCAAGTGAGGCTCTAAAGCAGTTGCATGAGCCCGGCGAAGCCGGGCTTCCAAGAAGGAGAGAGAGCTCGGCGTCAGCCGGGCGATCCGACTGGATATCATTTATAAAACGAGCTGAGAACGAGCCTCGCCACAACATGTGTTTAGATCTTCATCATTCGTTTACCATTTCTTTTGGTGTAATTTCGAACACAGTCAAGCTACTTGAGCTCTTGATGTTGGGGATCTGTTGATTCCGTGTGGAAAAAATCAGTTCTCAAAAAAAGCTCCTGCTATCCACTTATGGCGCACCTCATCGGCATCGCAGATCACCTTACTGCCTCCTTTTACGTTGAACAGACTCCCCAGCTTACAGTAACACGTGTAAGTTAAGTGTCTTCTAAACGACTGTTCACTGAATGATCAAGGTTCATGAACCACAATGTCACGCTGTCACGCTAGTGAGCCGGTTGTTAAGTCCGAACATGAACCTTACTGAAGAACTCATGACAAGAATTTTTTCTGGGAGGAGGTGAAATCTCCTCTATCTCTCGGATAAGTTGTCCAGAAGTCGACTGCACCGATCAGACCTCTACAACATTCCTTCGCTCCTCGCCCTCTTATTGCCTCGTGGGTCGGGGTTGGCTTTTTTGGAGCTTATTGATAATTGAAAAGAATTCCGTGAGAAAAATAAATAACGATGACATTACAGCAAATGCTCACAGGAGTTCCAACTATTGTGTTCTGGAGCGCCACACTGATTTTCGATGCTTTTGTTTTTGCATGCATTTCGGCTGCGATGCTTTGTATACGATCAGTCTTTCATTCTTCCCCTCCAATTTGGACAATGTAAGTGAAAGCATTGAATATGTAAAACTTCATAAGCAACTCCTCAATGTTTCTACGTTTAGGAATTTTTGTTTTCGTGCAAGACTTCATCTGCAGTCTTGGTTGTCCAGGTTACCTACGCATGTAAAACCTGGAGAGGTGCCGCCCGCTCAAGATGTGCTTCACCTAAAGATGCTTAGTCTGCTCTAAGCCAGCGGGGCGACCCCGTAGAGCATCTGCTAGTCTAAAAACTGAGCATTCAATCATTTGGAAACGAGTTGCAATGAGAAACAATGAGAACAAATTAATGGGAATAAGAAGACCGTTGAAAACATAGAAGGTCCATTTCGCTTCTTCAGCAGACGAACCGTTGTTATTTCGCCACTGCCGAACCTCACCAATGAGGGAGGGTTGACGAAAAAGATAAGGTTTACGTGGGTGAGCCAACTGACGAAAAAATAAAAACAACATGGGTGCTTATGCAAAATTCACTCACAGATAGTCGTGTACAGATAAGATAAAATGGTACAGAAGAATGAATGAAGGATATCACGCGGACCATGTAACGAACAGAAATATAGGAGATATTTGACTGTACTCGACTGGTTAAAAGCAAATAAAGGAGTATTAAATGTGACTACTGAAACGAACTATCAGAGTAGGCATTAAGCACCACTACTGGTGGAAGCACCTTCTGAACTGATTTCTCATGCTAGTTATAATGAAACCAGTTTGACGAGAACTACTGCGCGCATAGTCAAACCCGTGGTACTGATCACCGACAGGATCTCTGTGCTGACCGCTGACACTTGGCCTAATCCCCACGTTCTTGGAATACGGCCCATTTCATAATATTTCTCCTTTTTAATGAACATTTGCCAATGTCTGGTGTTTATCACATTTGAAAAAACACCCACCATTCGCTGGAAATAGGACGGCTTAGCGGTTGAAAGAAATTCGGTGGTGACAATATAGAAATCTTAGTGAAAGTTCGTTATATCCTAGCGCTTCCGTTGAGCAGCTTTAAATTTCCGTCTGCTGTTCCGTCTGCTGGTGGCTCTTATCAATCCTCACTGACAAACATCTTTAGGCTTTTACTTTTGGGTGAAACCGTAAAGTTTAGCGGTCGAATCAACTTCGATTATATAGCTGTGGAATAGGAACAACTTGGCTCACTAAGCCTTTGCCCATTGACCTGGAGGCTTCCTCTCTGACTCACCTTTCCCATCCTGCCTCCTATATCACTGGTTGCAACCAAGTCCTACCGTCGCTGCGACGCACGTTATGAAGTTGGTGATAATCCCTTCTAAGCCCTTCACAGTATCTTATCAGCTGTTATCAATTCCTGCCACCCACCAATAGTGTCCCCATCTTGCCCCCTATCTTGCCTCCTGTACCAAGTCCTACTGTCGCTACGACGCGCGTTATGCAGTCGGTGCAGTCGGCCCTTCTGAGGCTCCTCGTGGTATCTTATCAGCAGTTGTCACTTACTGCCACCCACCAGGACTGTTCCCATCCTGTCCCTCCCATCCTGTCCCCATGTTCCTTTTTGGAACCAGCGTTCTAGAGTTGCTGTGACGCGCGTAATGAATCTGGTGACCCTCCATTTCTAAGACCCTCTACGGTATCTTATCAGCTGTTATCACTTCCTGCCACCCACCAATAATGTTCCCATCCTGCCCCCTATCTTACTTCTTGGAACCAACGTCTCGTCGTTGCTGTAGCCCGCGCTATGAATTTGGTGACCCTCCCTTCTAAGACCCCCTGTGGTATCTTATCAGCTCTTATCAGTTCCTGCCACCTACCAATAGTGTTCCTGCCCGACCCCCTACATCCACTTATCAATTTGAGAGCTCTGTCGCTGTTTTGAAGGGAGTGACGGAAGCGGTTTTGAAGGAAAGACGGAAAATGTCGGCGTAAAGGTGCGCCTTCCCCGAGTATTCTAAAAGTTCCTAGACGCACAGAGTCATTGTGATCACAATTATGAGACCGTAATTATCGTTTGGAAAACCGTTGGAGCGGACTAACGTCTTTTCGCTAGGATAAACGCACTAACCACTGCTTCAGGCTGATTCAGAGTCCACATGCGTTGACTTCGTCGAGTCCAGTTCCAAGCCAAACTAAGTACCCTTCTCTTGAACACCCATAACTTCTTCGAGAGTGGAGCTTTTGAAAGGCAAGAAGCAGTGCTGTAGAGCAGAGGTTGACACTTATTTTCTGAGGTTGAGCAATTCCGAAAGAACCTCTCTCAAGGAACCATTCTCTCGTTGTGACTTTTAGGGGTCATTTACAAGCTCTTACGCTCTGAACAGCTATAACAACCTTTACACAAAGCCATTTGCAAAACGAAAAGCAGTGACGAGTTTCGAAAGTTTCTACTTTCTAGCAGACCTTTCATTTCATCCTCAAGCCTGCTCAAAAAAAAGCCGATCCGATGTTCTTGCGACCCTTTTTGGAACATGAAAATCCTTCCCTCCGACGTCATATCACTTCCAGTTCGTTGAGGGCTTTGGTATGCATGTGAAGCACATGTTTTCGCCCAGGTATCAGGAAAGCTCATTTGATTGGCAGCATGCATGGGGCTCTCACGCATAGGTATTAGGAGTGTGCAACTACTAGATAACTCTCCCTCCGTGCAGGCAGATCTGCTCCTGAGATCAGAAAAGTCCGGAAATGTATTTCCATATGTTTATTGGTTCGTTGTGGGTGGCCATCGTATTTCCTACCATCACCCGTTCCGCACTTCTGCGCTGGCAGGCTCTTCTGTCTTGTGTGTGTATTCAGGTGTTCCTCACATGAGTGTCTCTCATCATCGAAGCTGAACGACATCTGAGTATCGCTGCAATCCTCACTACAGAAAGGCCACCCCCATCCCCCTCCTCTCCCTCCCTTCGTGATTACCACAACGATGGCGTGCCCAGCCCTAGTCCCACACCGGTGCAGTTCCGAGCAGGGAAAATGACATGTTACTGCGCGGATCCCTTAACTTCACACATGGCGATGGTCAGTATCCACAACAGTGAGCTATACTTCACCTGCATATGGTACATCCCAGTAACCGAATCACGTGCATGCTTGGTAGCTGCCAACTGAATGCAGCGTGGAATTGTTACCAAAATAGAGATAGTCAGGCCTTCCTATGCATCCATGAAGATGAGCACGTGAGCATCATTATTTTCGTTCATGAGGGCAACTTCATTCCTTGAGTGAGCTTGCTTTTGTTTCTTTAGTTTCCATTGTTTCAATTTAGTCTTCAAAATTTCCTATTGTCTCAACTGCTTCCAACTTCCAAAACATTTATAGTTTACAAGTCGAGTTCAAACAAAAAAAAGAAACAGAAAGAAACTCACCTAGGAACCAAAACACTAATCATTTTACGCAACATCAACAGGTGAAAACTTTATAACCTCATGTATAAGCTCGACGAATGAAAAAAGAAACAATAAAAACCTACCTTAAAGACAAAGCCCGCGCTCATTTGCCATCTTAGATAGTGAATTTAGGCTTCGCATAAAAAGGACAAGGTTTAGAGTAAAACAATAGTGAAGGAAAAAGCAGAAAAAACATGCCCAATGTCCTAAATAGGACCCCATTACAATCCTAGTTTGTACGTGCATACGATGGGGAAACAGCGCTTATGGACGAGCGTTCCACGTTATTGGCTCGCTGCCAGAAATAGGTGTGGCGCCACGTTTGAAAGACTGACCTTTAATATTCTTATTTTTTCAGTGAATTCATCGTATCATTATGTTTCTTTGTTCTTTTTGAGTTTGTGTTTTGCTTTTCAAATTCAAAATGTTGCTATTTTCTTCCAACATTTCGTGCACTTTTGCAATACAATACTTTTTGCAGTACATTTCCAGTTTTACCACTCCGCGCGCTCAGCTGACTCAATACAACCCTACGTCCGTACAAATAACGAAGGCGCTTAGATTTTCATGCTTTTCTCGTCCCACAACTTGGTTTTTCACTGAAGGGCGGCGCTTGGGAGGCGGAGTCACTGGAAAAAAGGAGGAACCACTGGACCTATTTTGCCTTATAGCGCCCCTCCCCTGCACTTTTTTGCCGCGAAAACGGTACAGGGTTGTTCGTCGCGGACCGCACTATCCTCCCGATGCCATATTTTCATCTTCGATACTTGATCGCGGACCGTTCCTTTAAATGAAGCCTTCACGCTTTTTCCTCATTTGTATCATGAGTCAAAAAAAGAAAACAAGAACCAACAAGTTGGGTCCAGATTCCCTTGAGTCAAACCGAGTTTTATTACTTGAGACCATAAATTGCAGACAATTGAGACATTGACAGAGATTGCGATTAAAAGAGAAAAAAAAGCATGAAATTGAGTCAATTCCTCCTAGAAGCTCTCGGAGCGGCCCGATTAATAGCGTCGGGGCGCGCACTGCCACGTACTGACGATCGCGGCGATCGCTACGATCGCCACTATCGCCGTGATCGTCGCTGCTGTATGAACGATGCCTAAGCACCGATGCTAGCGACATACTGTGTGGTCTTGAACATCACCGCCCTTTTCGTCGAACGTTACATGAAAAGCACACGAATACAGGCGATTCCCCTCTCTAGTTACATTAGCCTCAAGAAGGCTTAGGTGTTACAATAGTTGTTTCATGTCGTTGATAGGTGATACTGTAGTGCTACTTATCGCTGAGACGGAGTAGGCGTGACATTTGAACAGGGCATAGAGTGGGTTACTTGTAGGATGTTTCAGTTTGAGGCCACTGTAGTTCATTGTTGAGACAAGATCGTAACTGTGTCAAAATAGGACTATCCCACCGAAAGCATCATCACTCCCACATCTGGTTGAAGTGCGTGGCCATCCTCACCACATATCAAGGACTTCAAGCATATCATGCGGTTATTTTCTGTATAATCACTGGTAACTTACTAACAAGGAACTGTTTTTGTAGGTTCATCATGATTGCATATTGTGTGACCATCCTTCCAACGATATATCTTCTGTCATTTATCTTCAAATCTCCGGGTGCAGCACAGACTTTTTGTCT